ACATGCCTGCATTTTGTCCAGCAGACATGGCTTCATGTGATTTACAGGTGCAGTCTCACATGCAGGAACACTTCCCCGCGCCGAAGCTTCATTGCTGAGCAACATGCATTGCCAGGCTGCAATCTTTGCAGGGTGTCGCTTGCAGGGCTTTCAGCTCGCAGGCAGCTCAAGTTTGCAGGAGATGTGCATGCTGTTGTTCCCAAGCTCGCTCTCAAGCCCTTTCAGCATCCTCAGTCCCTCGATCTTCCCGCTCACGATGGAGGAGCTTAAGGTCGAGCAAAAGTTCGTCGTGTCGTGGGGCAAGGTGCAATTGGTGCCCACCCAAAAGCTCGTTGATGGCATTCCCTATCTGTGCCTCTCGAAATGGGATCGCTCGAGTGTGCGACTGCTGTCGGGGAAAGCTTTGGATCTGCGAAAACAGAAGCGAGATCAGGCAGGCTCCTTGCACTGTTCTGCCTGGGATTCGCTCCTAGAACTCCGCCAACAGGAAGCAAACAAGCTCCTGCAAGATGCCCTCAAGGAGGACGAGGAGAATGCTCGCGACAGTGCCAAGAAGAAACCCATCAGAGCACAATCCAAACACACGGTCATGCTCCCCCTTTCCATGCCGGTGGTTTTCCATGGCCACAAGATGAACATCCTCCTGGAGGGCTTGGGGTCGCAAACCATCTGGGTCGAGCTGACCGAGCAGAACATTCTGTTGCTGCACGAGAAGTGTAGTTCCAGCGAGGCCAAACCCAAGAAAATCGCCAAGAAAAGCAAGAAGGCGAAGAAGAACCAGGACAAGGGCGATGATGCGGGTGACGATGCTGAGGATGAGGAGGGTGAGGAACAGGAGGACTGAGTTTTTTGGAAGCAGACGAGGGTCGAGTTTTTTCAGGCAGGCATTTGGATGCCCGGTTTTGGTGGATGGAAACTGGAACAGCGAGAAAGAGCGAGAGTGAGTGAGTTGGAGCGACTTTGCTTTCGTGTTTGCCTCTTCATACATGCTTGCAGCTTCTCATGTCCTTGCATATTTGACACACTCGCTCGGGGATCGCGACTCAGGCTCATGAAGCTGCATGCCGGCATTGTGCAGGGGCCATGCATGCTGCAGGGACCATTCACATATGCAGTACACACACTTAAGACTCCAGGCTCAGGGGCCAATGCATGCACTGGACTCCATGCACAGCACTTCAAGTCTTCAGGCATTCCAATGGCTGCTGCATGCTCTCGACTTTCTATGGGCCTTAGAAGTTTTGGTTTTGGCTGCAGCCATGGCTTTCCGGATGGTTTGGAAGGGCATGCCAGAGGTGGGGTGTGAATTTTGATAAATATAAACCCCAAACCCTGAACCCTACGAGGCCGACGAAGCCGAGATGGTCCAGAACTTCAAGATGGACCTGGAAGACTTCGTCAAGGGCACAGGACTCGCTGCTCCTAAGCCCAAAATATAGCAAAAAATCCTGCCTTGCCAGGACCCAAGAACCGGCATCGCTGGGAGATCGCGGGCCATGCACGGCTTCGCTGGACGAAGCAGGGGTGGCACGTGGACCTGCTGGGCTCAGAACCTGCTGTTCTGTCCCAGTGGTTCAACGATGCCGAGTGCCAGGAGCCTCCAGTTGAAGGCGACATGCATTGATAAAGTGTAAAGCACTTAAGCAAGTGCTCAGTGAAACCATCCCATCCTGCAGGCTGGCTTTTCTGGGATGGCGACTCCGGGCGCTACAGGGAGTCCATGCTCGTCATGGAGGCTTCCTTTGATGGGACCTTGTTGTGGTCGTCACATAAAGTCACTTCCTGCAGGCTGTGGTGCCGGGTCAAGGAGTGCACTTGAAGGCGGCTTGTGTAGCTCGACTTTCTCTTGCTCTCAGATGCATGGTTGGATGCTTCGAAGGAAGCCCCAGCTGGAGGTGCACCAGCAGATGATGTCGGGCTCCCATTCATGAAGCTTTCTGTTCAACTAGTTGTTGGTATGGATTTGATTGTACGAGGGACCATCCGAGCCCCTGGAGACTGTGGAGGTGTGTGTCTCAGCCGAGCCATGCTGCTTTGCTCTTGAGCTGGAACTCTAGAGTCAGGTGGAAGATCCGAGCGATGCTCGGGGCCAAGTTGCGATCAGCACCGTGCTTTCGTGGCTTTTCTTTGGGCGCCGAGGCTCACCGTGAAGATGCAAATGAGGAGGAGGCCGAGGTTTTGGGGCCAAGCTTTCCATTGAGATATCGGTTTTCATTTCGTGTGAACCCAACAGGAATGGCTACAGGACCTGTGGGCGGCAGCCTCGGCATCATGTATGCTTGCATATAGCACCATGGACTCTATATGTAGTATAATATAGCCAGGAAGAAGAACATCAGGATGGCGACTTCGAGGCACTGATGTGCATGCTTTCACATGCACATCAGTCTGGGCCGGCCTTTTCGCAGGACCCCGAGCAAGGCTTGCAAGAAGCCGAGGAGGAGGCTAGATCGAGGTGTCAGTGTCCGCATGCAGACACCCCGTGCACACATGTTGCAGGACATTGAAGTCGCCTTGGAGCCCACGGCAGCCGGGGGCTCGTGTCTGTATACTTCTTGGGTTTAGATAAAGGTTTACAGGGATTTTCTTTTGCAGGGAATGAAGCTCCGAGGTGCCAGCCAAGGACAAGCGAGCACGGACCTCGTTTCCAGTGTGACTAGAACTTCTTGAATAGTTCCGATGCCAAGGCCTCTTCGGCTGGACGTGACAAGGCCGTGCTTTTAACTTCGGGGTGCCTTCTTAAAGCATGCTCCACAAACTGAGGTCCCAGAGCCGAAAGGGCCGCCACCTCCCAAAAGGGTGAAAAAGGAGCAGGTGGGAACCTCAGACAATCGTGATCGTACACCTTTCCTTGTGCCTTTTTGGAAGCATGCTCAACATACTCAGCCCATCGGGCCGCCTCCCAAAAGGGCGAAACCTGTGGGAACCCCGTGCAACCTGCTTCGTAGACCTTTGTGCTTTGTTCAAGACCATGTGAGGTCCCGGAGCCCAAGGGTCCACCTCCGAAGCGGGTCAGAGATGATGGCTCTGTGGGAACCCGAGGCAATTTTGGAACTTCTGGTTGTTGCTGTACTCTTCTTTGCTGAGGGCAGCTCTCGAGATCATGCGAGCAGCTCTCACGAGGTCCGTGAGCCAGTGTGTCTCAGTTCTTTAGTTGTTGAAAGATGTGACAGGCCCTTCCTTTGGTGGCCTGGCATTCGAACTGGCAGGCCATTGGTGGTGCATGTGTATATGCATATATGTGTACATGTCTGCATATGTATACAGGCATATTGTATGTTTGTATGTATGTATATATAGATATAGATA